CACGCCGGAGTCGAGAGACAATAGACGGGTGATATCACTTTTCCCGCCAGGGTTCAACGTGCGGGAGCGTCCGTAATACCTGCTCCCAACCCTACCTCATGCCAGGCGACGTACCGCTTACTCAATACGCCCCTGGTGCTCTCGACCTGATTGGGGCCGTGCAACTCGGATAAGGGTGGGCATTTGCAAGGGTCCTCCAAGAACCGTAATCTTCTTGGTCAGTGGTCCCCCCCTGCAGTGGTCGCCTCTCGCAGGCAATTGACGACGTGGACGCGAGGCTGCACTAATTTCCCCCTTTCGGCGGCGGAGTCTGAGTTTCCATGGACGCGCCATGACATGGGCAAGCCCTTCTGCCGACGAGAGGCGGGCCTCTCACGTGGGATTTCCGTGAAGTACGATCTTTTTTGTTTTGTTTTTTAAGTGCGGAGGAGATCTTAATACGATCGGCAGTACTCCGTGCTTGGATGGAGAAACATTCTCCGCACGGTCATGCGCGGTCCGCCCCAGACTGCGAAACCGCCTTCGGAAGGCATCGCGGCTCTTGCCATTATGACAGTTGGGTCGCGTTTAGATTTAGATTTATTCAGTCAAAAAAACTGTATGTGACGTAGGTGGGGAAAGCTTATCTGCGCACTTTTTCTTGAGTTTCAGAATCCTTTCCCGTCATTTTTACTATAAATAATTGAAATGTGAGTAACAGTTTAACATAAATAAATTAAATAAATAAATTTTTAAAATCGTTAAATTAGCAATATTTGAAAAATAGTTTTAGAAGCGTTTGGAAGTCTTGGCCATAGCTTGAAAGAACATTTGACAAGAATTGCGACCACACATTTCTTGTATTTACTATTTAATTTGAATCCCTAAAAGAAACTTCAACAAAACGTAACATTTGCAAAATTTATAATACTCTGTAGGAAGATGTATTTATAACAAACTGTGCAATATTAGTGAAACTTGTGCATTGTAAGTCAATTCTACCATATATTCAAATGATTGGGTTTGGTTTATCACTCAACAGTAATTATTTTTGTGTCTTATTTTATGTATAATAGTGTTTGGCTTGCAAATTCTATGCAATAATGAGTTCCAAAGACCCAAATTAATAAGAAAAATTCAATAATTAATAAAAACAGCAATTTGCTAACACATCATTAGCAGAGGCAATTATCACCAAAAAAAATAAACTAATGAAAATATGAAGACTGTAATTGCCAACATTCCAAAACCTTGCTTGGCTCTCTGGGTCCACAAGATTAAAATTAATATGTCACAGAACCAATCTTTGACGAGGTGGCTGTGTTTATAGAAGAGCCCTGCTGTTCCTTTCACCAATGGAAAAGAAAATTGAAAAGTTTTGTAAGGGAGACTGATGTTCCAGTCAATTTGTCACAAGGTGGTAAAATGTATACCAAGGTTTTGTAAATAAAGGAAATTAAAAAAAACAAAACATTCTTAAATTTACTGTTAAAGAAATTAAATTTTTTTCTCCTATTTGTTATAATGAATTATTAGTTTGATTTCACTCTGTCGTTTTTTTTGGATTTTGGAGTCATTAAGATGTGAAATTGGCATTAAATGAAGCAATTAAAGCAATGCCTCAACTTTATTACCATTGCTGCTAACCTCTAAAATTATTATTTACCATCACATTTCATTTGCATGAATGTAAGAAATATTTCCACTATTATCTTTTTTTTCTTTAATTGCAGAGGTTTCCTGAACAGACGTACTGGACCCACTGTGTGGGAACCCAACATTTGTGTTTAAAGGAAAAAATATTAATCCCATAAATATAATACTTCAATTGTTAGAGTTTGTAAAATTTCCTTTTTGTTTCACTTAATCAATTTTATCACAAAATGAATGCAGCATTACCTTCACACACACCACAATCAATATTTAATACCTTATTGTGGAAAAGCTAATGCAAATATATTTATTGTTTACCATTAAGTTTTGTGACTTCCTATTCACATTTTCTTAAGAATTATAATTATTTTGAGAAGAGCTCCTAGCAATTTTTAATGAATTCTTTGCAATGTAGTAGTTGGAAAAACAAAATATTAGGACAAATGGGTTTAGGGAATATTTTGGCCTTTTCAACAAGACAATACTAATACATTATTCCTGAAACCAAAGTACAATAATAGAAAGATTTTTTTTGTAAATCAGACATTGTAAATTTATTCACAATTACACAATGTACAGTGATCAATAAAGCATTTTGAAATCATTTTTCCAGAACTCGTGCTATTGTTTATGTACGTATAATCATAATAATTATGTAATTGAATTAATTGTTATGCTGGGCTCGTTTCAGGGAAAGGTTACTGATTTTGTCTCAGGTGTATGTATTTGTGTATGTGTGGTATGTGTGTGTATAAGTGTGACATTATGGTGTGACTAGTTTTATAGCTACAATGCTTTTCTTTCAACACTTAATTTTAGATTATCTAAAATGATTTAAGAACAAACACAACTCAAATATCCATTTAAATTATTTTCACACCAATGTCCCTTGCCAGAGCTAATTTTAACAATAGAAAATGACAAATAACTCTCTTCAAGACAACTATGAGGACTTGCAATATCTCTATTTCCAAATAAAATTTCAAAAAATGGGGGCCGGTTACTAAACATCACACATTTGTACAAAATAACTTGAAGCATTACACTCAACTGGAGCCCTGTTTCTCTTGAGATGCAGACAATTTTAAACACCCAATTATTTGTAATTATCACATCAGTCAGAAAGAGTCATACTAACTACCAAACACACAAAATGACAAACATTCAATCAAGCAATTTAGGTCTTCTCATTGATCTCTACATGAGTGATAAGGTATAAAGCAGGAAAAATTGAATATTTCAAATTTGTAAGTGCATTAGAATATTTCAGTACTTGACCACATGCTCATTATCACATTTCCATTTGCACAGAAATAGATCTATATTAATTACAGTATTTGCACATCAAAAATACCACAAAATTGCAAACAAAATGTTTCCTACATCAACAATCATTTGAGATACATAAATACATTGGTATGAAAATTATATAGGTATCTTCTGACCACACAGTTCATAGGAGCACTTAGATTAATTGATAGAATCAAAAGCATCACATGCAATGCATTAAAAAAACTAAATTCATTTCATACCAATAACTTTCTCATTCATTCACTTTTTAATGTGCTGATAGATATTGTGACGTGACATGACATGCACAGATCTGGGAGTTTACCATATATAATCAGCAAAGAAAAAAAAAAAGAGAGAGCATTGTTACCAAGAATTTATTCCTATATACTATGCCACAGATTTCATTCAATCTTCTTAACCAATAAATATGTGTCACAGCCTTTGATAGAAATTCTCGCAGGGATTAAATTTTCTGTGAGTAGCGTACATTGCCTTACTTTCACACAGGTATGGAACTGAAGATGGCTTAGAGCACCAAAACATGAATCCATCATCTCTGATAGTCTATGAAGTTAATACTTAACTGCTGTATAATACACCTATTCCAGTTGCCAGGAATTAAATAAAGGCTTTATCCCAACACATATTTTAATTTAAATTTAAAATAATCCCTTAAAACAAGAGAAAGTGATAAAGGTCATAATAATGTGAATAAAAATAGTCTACTTTAGTATTTTATCATATAACATAATCTAAAATAAACACATTGATACAATAAAAATTTTTTTGGGAAAAATCTATTTGAACATGTCAATACCACAAGTTTACTTCCAAACTTAAAATTTCAACAAATAAAAATGTCAGCTGAAATATTAGATCCATAATTGTAGCAGCAGAAACAAGACAAGTAAAACCAAAGAAGGTTTGTAATAAATCATAATGAAATATATTTTATTCCTTCAATGTAATTTAAGGAAAAGCATTAGTGAAAAATATCTTTAATATTTCTTTTCATTAAGTAGTTTCAAAAATAACTAAGTATTCCATTTGCATATTAAATTTTTATAACAGATAAACCATCAAAGTTGGTAGTTCTCTCATATTTTTTCTAAAAATATTCTACTATACTTTTTCAGTACAGCTCAGGCTCCAAATATATCTATGTTCTGTTGGCAAAACCAATGGCAGTTTGCCAATTACATCTAAATACATTTAATATTACTAGCACTAATCAGATCTTCAGAAGAAACCAAAAGCTTAGTTTACAAAGTAATATTTTCCACAATGGCTTCCTTCTAATCAGGTCTGTGAACATATAACAATAACGTCTCCCAACAGAATGTAATGTAATACTTTTGCAACAAACTTTCAATTACATTCCAATTTTTAATTATATATTTTTCTTTTTAACTGAAATGAATACTAGATTACCATTACATATCATCAGCATACAAGTGAAACTCCATGAAGTCCAAAAACCGTGTTTTTAGATAAATCAAGTTGAAGTCATTTCTGCAAAATTTGTTTACTAATTATCTTTGGCTAGATAGAAGATATAATCTTGTTTTTTTCTCTATTCACCCTTTAATAGTAATATTACTTTTAAGGGAAAATAAATCAGGCCCAAGGATGGAATTTTCCTGTTCCTTTTCAATGTTTTGTCATTCAGTTAAAAAAAGAAGTTAAGAAAAGATTCAGTACGTACAAACTCCAGGATTTTAATGAATTCATTAGTCAAAGAATGACAAAAGTTTGTTGGCTTAGCATGAATACATTCCAAAATATACAAAATGGACCTGGTAGTTTCACTGGTACAGTAATTATATGGATATTTTATTAATGATTAGTACATCCAGTACAGTTTGAAACATGTTTAGCATACTACAAAATGAATAATGCTGAGTAAACATTAATGTTCCATACTGAAAAGTATTTTGCTTGAAATGAATAGAATTGTCAAAATTATCCAACTTATTTCCAAAACATGAATAGGCAAGCTTTTTTTTTAAGGCTTCAATTGTATCCGGTCATAAATATTAATTAAAATATTTCTCAACTTGTAGCAAAGGAGGTATTTAATTTTAGGGTAATTTGCAAGCAAGACTAAACATACATATTCAAATGTAAATCATTTTAATACTTTTAATTCATGAGGATCTTAACAATTTATACATATTTAATTGAAAGATGACAAAAAAAATTAACAAAAATTAATAATTTCTTATTAGAGTGTGCCAGAACAAATGTGCTATTCACAAATGTACAGTTTCAAATGTTTAAATGGAAATGAATTAAAATTTACTGTCATGTAAATGGTGTGCACAGGGTAAGAAAATTAGAATTTAAGAGCAAAAGACTTAAAATAGCTGTCTTCAGTTTCACTGAATATTTTAATATCAAATATTTATGATTAATGTGTTCATAATAATTCATGGCAGTTTTCAGTGTAATTATATGTATTCAGAAATGAAAGTATTTCCCTGGTTTATTTCATGATTGTCAGTCTCTCACAAATCTTGAAATTAAGCTTCTGGATTTCTGAAGAAAATTACTACAAAATGGTAAATTCATAAACTCATTTTAAAATTCTTTCAACAATACAAAATAATTAATTAATTTGGGGGTATTCTCAGCAAGTTCTTTATTTAATGTAGATGCTACTCTCTCTGTAATTACAGAAGATTCCCAAAATTTCTCTTATAGAAAATACCACGTCCCACTTTCCTCAACAAAATTGACCTTTCTTGTCACATGTACTTTATATAACTTCGTCACACATTCAGACATGCATGCATAAATAGAATTAATTAATTCTCTCTTTAATCTTATGAATAAACATTTGATAATCAATGCTGTATCTAAATTCCTTTCTGCTCAATACATTCTTCCCCCAGAAGTGTGAGGTGAAAGAAGCTGGAAAACAAATTTGTTACAAAACAAGCAAATATGTAATATTACAACTAAAATGCAGGAGAAAAAGGCAATGGATTCATTTTACAACATTAGGTCTCCTCTTTTATTTAACGTCAGCATTTTGATGTTGGTTTATTCAGGAATTTGTACAACCTTAACATGGAATAAAAGCAAATATTTGTTATAGTTTATTTTAAGAGTTTAGCATTCGTTCGTGAAACAACATGATGTTTTTAATAGTACTTCAGAAGTACATTAGATAGCAATTTTTTAGATATGCTAAAAGCTCACAGAAGATTCAAAATTTTCATACTTTAGTTTTGTTGTAATTAAAATCAAAGAATCCCACAAAATCTAAAAATGTTCTGTGGAAAAAATATAAGATGAAAATAATATAAATTACTGTGTCACATTTATTTTATCAGGCCATTGAAAGTGGAAGAGCAAGATCATTGAAGATGCTTGCATGCACTTGAAACTGTACTTTTCGTTTCTTTTACATTAATAATTACTACATGACAATTCTTAAATATTTATTCAAATATAAGACACACCCTACAACTTGTGGCATTTTTGCCCAAAATATGGATAACAAAATAATATTCACAGTAAACATAATAATAGACTCAACACAGAAACTGAACAAAAAAATGAATGTTTAATTCCTGGAAAATGTTCCATGATCACTCTTAGTAATTACTTGCAGTGATAAGGTACACTGTATGGCAATTAAATATATATGCATATAATCAATTTATTTCTTAGTTCTCTTTTAACAAACTTTGATATAATCTATTAATTCTGTTCAAAATAAAGTAGATTTCTATATACACACATATAAAAACAAGATTTTTATAATGATTTACAATTATTACTCTTTCACATTCATCACAAGACACATAAAGCACTAAGACACAAATAACAATTCATATATATTTAAAGGGAAATAGTATTTACAAGAACAAATAAAAGGTAAGCTTAAACAAAAATATCTACAATTTCAAACAGACACATTCTCCTGCACAAATAAAATTATACAACTCTTGGTTTTTGATAAAAATATGTTGTATCAGTAATCAAAATTTATACAGCATTTATCCAAAAGAAAGATGACCTTTCTTAAGAAACAATACTTACAGGCCAGGAGAAATACAATATAAAAATACACAGTAGTATTTTAGCTGCAAGTTTAATTCTGCCCAGTACCTATAATAATTTTTTACATTTACAGTCATACTACTGGTAGGGCAGAAGTTATATTAGAACATACTGCAATGATCTTTATTAATAAAAGCCTTGGTAACCATATTACTTTTCACAATGAGTGAGAAAGATGCAATATTTATAAAAACAAAATATTTTTGCCCCTTTGGTAAGGTCATATTCAAATATTCTTGATAAATGTAGGGAAAGACTTCAGTTTCCTTTCGCAGGAAGCTGTATTCTAAGAATACAGATGCTTACACAAGGAATAGAATACTGGAATTTTAGCCCTTTCTCACATTCTTATTAAGATTGTGAATAACAAGTATTATAGAACACATTTCTTTGTGCAATTCTTGACAATTAAAAAAGAAAAATATAAAATTCTAAGGAGATAAGCTAAAGGAGTATTCCCAGAAGGAAAAAAAATGGTACAAGAGTTTGGGAAAGTGCATAATATTACTGTCATTACTTTTAAAACTGAAATTTCAAAATTGCTATTAAACTTTAATCAACAAAATTTTGCTAGCCTGAAAAATATTTTTAACCGATGTCGAAGATTACATTAAGGAAGAAAAAGTAAATAATGACAAGCAGTGCTGCTTCATATTCAGTCATCTTCCTTTGTGATAAGTACAGAACATTAACAAGGGAGTAGTAGAGATTGTAATCAACAAAATGTAAATGGAGGAAAGTTACACGAGTATTGTGTGCTCTTTATACTTAAACAGCCATTAACAGCTGTAACAGCATCAAATAAGAGCAAAATTCATATATAAATAGTACACTTCTCTAAATATAGAGAAATGGTTACAAAGGGGGCTGTTTACCAAATAACTAAAATTTCCCATAATATGCTTTAGCATGTTACAGTATAGTAAGCAGGTAATATGCTTCATCAGTCCTTGATCAGTAGTGGGGTTAAAAAAATCATACAAGCTTTCATTCATAAAACAGAAACTAAGAAACACCATTCTAGAACACTTTGGTTCAAATATTTCCACTCACAGCTAGAAATTACAGTCACTTCAGCCAGAAGCAGAAATGAATGTAACTAGGAAAATTACATTCCTCAGCCACTCCAACATATTACAAATTGTGCATTAAGGATGTCTGAAATTGGAGAATATAACAGTTAAAATGAACTCTCAGCTACTTTATAACACAATATTTGCATCACTATCTAAAAGAAATCAAAATTATACTGGATATGTAAAAAATTACTTCATGTGCGTGATTTTACAAAATATTAACATACTCTCACATCTTCATCTCAAGCTCCTTTTCCCACATATTTTCACACTTGAACATGTATTACATCTCTAACATCTCACAATGTTAAACATCACACAAATCAGAAAAAGAAAATATTTTTTAATTAATTTTTCATTCCATTTAATTTCTCACATACATAGTTCTTGTGACTGGTGCAGAACTTTGTATATATAACATTCTATATATTTTCTTTACTGAAGAAGCTAAAGTTATTTTGTGTGCCTCTAACTTCTCACGGAAGAGCATGTACAAATGAGTCACATACATCCAAAACTAAAGCATAATAAATTATAATAAAAGGACTAGCAACGCAAGAATTCAATAAATGTTTTTCTCATTTTATACGTACTATACTGGTTTATATAAAAAATCCATATTCACATTACCTAAGAAACATTTAAACCTAGAGCAACATACTGCTTCACGTTCAAACGCAGTCATCCATACACACACTCTCACATACACACACATGTATATGTGCAGGCGCACAAGCATACACACATGACTCAGGGAGGGGGGAGTTACTCAAAGTTTTGTTTTTTGAATTTTTCCAATTTTTATGATTTTCCTATTTGTAGAAATTCTGATGAAAATGTCAAACTTGTCATTTCATTTGTACCATTCTGTTTGAAAAATAAGAAAATGAACTTAAAAACTCAAAAAATAATAAACATATATGTTGAATGCTTGTAAAATCCTGCATGATAAATTGCAACAGATATTTCCAGATAAAGAATTAAAATCCATCACACATTAAAAAATACCTAGACCCAAATTCTATCTACATAGTAAACAGAGTATATCACAAATCTGTACATAACCACAGTCGTACAATGAAAAATTAAGAATATTTTACATTTAGTGTTCTTTTAGGAAGACCAAAATTCACGGTATTTTAACAATACTGAAACCACCTCAATAATTGGACAAGTATAGATAAATAAGAAATTAAAAATAAATTCTTTACCTACAATAAGGTTGAATGAAAAAGTGTGCCTAAAAACATCAAACCCACAACACAATACCACCTAATAATTAGTCTGTTCAATTTAATACTGATAGAATTAAAAAAAATTTAAAACTGGGAAGTACACAATGTTCCAGCATTTAAATATCATCTTGTCAATCACAACTACAAATTATTCCTTCCTTAAGTGTACTTCAGTAAACTCAATTACCTCTCTCAAGAAAATACATTAACAATAGGTTATGATTGTAATAAGTTAAAAAAAGTGACTGGTTAATTCAATTTACCACAACATAGAGACAAGCTTGCCTATAAGAAACAATTCCAAAGGTTTTAAAAATACAATAAACACAATCGTGAAGAATGAAAATAGCTTCTGCAGAGTGTGAAATAGCATTTATATTTGTTCACAGCAAAAATAGCAGGATAGTTTCAAATGCACTATAATTATAGCCAGTCCACACTTTTCAACTCTCAACAAAATGCAGATGTACTTTTGCAGTAAACCACTACATCATCACAGTGAATTTAGTTGTATTACATTTTAATCTCTTAAACCTCAGAAATTCAATGCTTTTACTAAAATGCATTCTGTTTACACACACACAATACATACATTCTAGATGTACAAATATGCACAGTGAATTCTGCAAATTTGTTTCATGATGCTGGATAATCTGGACGGAAAAGTATAGCACACATTAAATATATTTGTAATAAAGGAAAGATACGAGGACAAATAAAAAATGTACAAATAAAATAAGGAATTAAGAAAAAAATATAAATTTTAGCAGAATGTAGTCTCGATCTGTTGCAATTTTCCATGCCTTGTTCTGCTGACCCCTTTGAATATTTCTTTAGGTGCAGCAAATAAAAGAAATGTAGTATAGAAACTGAATAGAAAAAATAAAAATTAAATTAAAATAAAAAGGAGAAAAATAAAAGAGAATCTATGCAAGGAACAGGAAAGAATGCTGTCACGTTTAGATTGAAAATGGAATTCAACAGCGTAATGAACATAAGTTACAAACATTGATAGTGAGTTAGAATTTTCTATGCTACTACTAACACCACACAATGTCCACTGGTTTCATCAGTTCTAACTGTGGCTAAATAAAAACAGATGCAAACGATTTAAGTCTTAAATCAGAAGTGATTCTACTGCAAATGACAGGACCTACAAGCATAAAACATACATGACTATAATGAATCAATACTAAAAAAAAGACACATATTTGTCTTAGTAACTTTCACATCTGCAAGTACTGCTATGGCCACAGTGCTGATGTTCAGGAGCAATTTAAAAAGCAGGACTCACAGAGGCAAAGAGTTTACAATTTGTGCCATCTATTTGTTCAGATCCTCATAAATTTCCAGGTTTTGGAAAGAAATACATTTTAAATAGGGTTGCACACATAAGGAATCCTACAGAAATGAAGAGATTATGACAGAAAAGAAAAAGATTAGAAACAGATGACTAATGGTCCAGTGTTACACAACCCCACAAATTCCTCAGAGTCTCTGGGCAAGAGGCAGTTATGCACATACAAGAGAGTACTACACAAATACAAGCCAATAGTAATATCTATCACAAGCTTTCACAAGTCTAATCTTGTTTCTATGACACCATAAACTTCCATGATTAATACTTTTGTATTGTGATTGCTTTCTACGTCTGGTTCTAAATTAAAAACTTGGGAGAGCTAAGAACTGAGGACCTCATATTTCAAGTGTCCAAAACCTGGAATCACACAAATGTGAGCTAGTTTGCGGTTTCTTGTTTGAGTACCTTTAATATTTCATTTTAGGATTACTGATGTATTAACATTAGTGTAGATGGAATTGTATGTCTATTCCAGAGTTGCTGATTCAATACTTGTCTCCCTTGTCCTCAGCTCTTCATTTCATTGTTTTGATATTTTTGCAAGTAATGAGAACAGATTTTCGCAACAATTTGTGGATAAAAAAGTCATGTTCAGTTCTCTTTCCTTGACACAACCAGCTTCAGAATTTCATCTGTATTTTTCTTTTTAATTACTCTGATGCCACTGAAAACACTGAGAAGCAATCAGTGAATTTCAGAGGTCATATAACATTGCACGTATTGAAAACAATGCTGTTGCTTTTGTTTTATGTGTTATACATGTATATGATATATAAATGCTTTGTAGGTTTAATGCTAACACAAGTTTTCATTACATTCAATATTTTCTAACAAAAAATTTAACATTTATATTATGTCTGTATAGATCATAATTTGCATTTATCTGTGTCAAAGAGCAGATTGCACACTGCAAGCAACCAATCATGTTCACTGCTCCACTAATATACTGCAACATCTGTTCAAGTGACTGCAATTATTCATTCTAATGATGGTCAATACTTTTACAGATATCACCATTGTCAATGTTTTAAATCTGAAAAATAAAACATTATGCCACAAACCATCAGCAATGTTGTTTTATTTAATGGTCTTTTAACAATCATCATAATTATGTAATGATCATTTCATCTTATTACTCAATATTAACACAGACTTACACTCTCTATGATATATAAGTCTGATCACCACTTAAAATATCATTATAATTTATATTCACATGCCAGCATTATTTAAATTAAACTCAACGTGTTCAATATACATAGTTATGGCAAGTGATTACCCCCAAGTGGAAGATGTACTGCTTGCTGCTAGATGATGATGACAACGATGATGATGATGACAATCTGATGGCGCACTGTGACGGTGATTGCCGCCAAGAGGCCTGCATCTGTTGGTGATGTGCTGGCCAGGGCGACTGCACAAAAGCAGGAGACGCTTCGGCATCACAAAAGCTCATACTGTCGCAGGTGCATGCGTTGAATGATGTCCCGGCAGTCATTGAACACGCGCCGGATGTTCTCTGTATCCACAGCACAGGTGAAGTGTGGGTAGCAGAAGTGTTTCCCATCACCACTTGCAGTGCTGATGCGCTGAAAAATCACAAAAAAAAACCCAACAAGATTACCAAATCAGTAAAAAATTTAGAGGTGTCAAAAAAATTAAGAAAAAGTTTTAAGTAATTAATTTGAACACATAAGACTCAGTTTCAAAAGTATTTCTATTGCAAGATTAGAAGGGTTACATGATGGGCTCTCGTTGCATGTTAGTGCAGTGATGAACAGTCATTTTATTACACAAGGCTTGTGCTCAACTGCATGTTCTATGTCTTATTTATTACATGACCAAACGTGGGTCAGGAATTATTTTAACATTTTATTCAGTATGTGTGCCAGAGATTGAAAAGGAACATGAAAGAAAGAAAGCATGAAAGTAGTAGTAAGGTGTTAAGGTGGTAACACAAATAACCACTTACGTGAAAAGAAATTATAAAAATTATAATAAACATTAGAAATTTGACAGGAATTGATCTCTTTTTTACAACCTTGTATAAACATATTAGACCCACTCCAGTGATACACATAGTAATAAATAATACACATGTTGAAATACTAATACAATGAAAATGGAATTTTGTAAATCACTATGAAATTTGATTAGTTTTCATGAATACTTCTGATGCAGTTTTTATCTGTTAATCACCAAACAATTGAAGTTGAAAATGAACTGGAATAACATAAATGGCTAAGTTTTATTTTAAAAAGACATTAATAGAATGTGTTTGTCTAAATCATGATTCAAGTATATGGCAAAAGTTAAATTCAACGAATTCGATTGGAAAAATTTCATCAAATAAAGAAGGTTGAAAAAGATTGATGGTCAAAATGTTTGATTAAATGAATAAGTCATTTATTGGCCTTATGGAAGTATTTGGAAACACCGAAAAGTATGAATCTGAAATGCACTTACCAGGAACTCGTCACGGATAAAATATTTTGCACGAATGACTTCTAGGTTATAACCAGATTCCAGCTGCGCATCGCCAGGTGTTTGATACCTAGCAAAGTCTGCAAAATACTCCTCCAATCTTGATTTTCCTGCTCCAATTTTTTCTGCTAATAAATCTTGCTTGTTTAGAAACAGGATTACGGATATTGTTTTTAGCCACCTGAAACAAAAAATTACATTACTAAACCCAGAATGTAATATTTTATAGTTTTGTTCCTAAAGTCTTGGAATTCTGTGCAATAGTTCCTACAGTAAGCAGACAAATTAAAGATATATACATGTTTGTTTACGTTTACATTACAACTGCAAAACTAGTGATTCTACAACTCCACACATTTTCTCCAGTTATTTTAATGGTTACACAATATTATAACAATACATGAACTCAGACAAGTGTTTCTAATTTACAAAAATACCTGCCTGAATTCTAATTCAAACTCAGGTTCTTACAACTAAGTTATCCATTACACCAGCTGTCTGACTTGATATACCAAAGCTTCCAATGTTTCAAAAAGAAAACTAATGTTTTGCTATTTATAAAACTTCAGAGATTTTAATGAAAACCAGACTTATGAGGCTTATTATGCAATCATTGCACTTTCAAATAAAAACAAGAAAGAATCAATTTCCGGACTGTCTTGAGAAAAATCTTGTTCAAGTATATTTTTCCTTTCTCACCTAAATACCTAATACTTTCTTTCGTTAACAAAATATGCTCTTAAAAAAAAAAGTCTTTAAATAAGGTCACATTTTGTCACATAAGGTCACTTTAAATAAGGAAATTTTGCTTGAAGGGAAAATAATAAAATATTTTCTCAAAACACAGCACCAAATTTTGTTCTTAATCTTTTCTTTAACAGAGCAAAGTATGCTAATGCAGGCCCCATTTTCGGTAATTCCTTACTTTTGAAAATAGCAAAAAATCAACATCACAAAAGTACAATATTAATGATAAAATATGTTTCACCTTAACAAAAATTGTTTTAAAAAATAGATGTTTATATTATTTCATGAACAATTTTTGAAAATATAAGTAGTTTTTACTTAACGTATAGCTGGAAGTGAAGGAAACTTGAAATAAAATATCATTAGAAAGTGGTTCCTAATTTCTTTAGTTTTTTCTCAAATGGAGCAAAGCAAGCTAATAAAAATGGTGTAGGTTCCACTTTTGTACAACAATTGTATTTTTAAAAATTGCAAAAGTTACAAATAATGCAAGAAAGTATGTGATATTTAGCACATATAATTTTCAATTGGCGCAATCACTCAAAATTTTGCAAAAACCACTTGTATTTTTTATTATTAAAAAATCTACATTTTAAGAACAAATGTTATTAAACAAAAATCTCTATCTTCAATAATGTAGACACAGGAAAACCCAGGAAAAATTTTTAACTTTTTAACTATCAAAAATTCAGTAAAAATTGGACCTGCACTATTTTCATAAGAGTATTTTTCTTTATACAAGCAAAAAAACTCTAATCCATTATTGAGAAAGTTTGGAAAATGTTAGAGGGGATTCATGTAAAGTACCCCTCTTCCTAAAAAAATTAAAATATTCATTTCAAAATCCACGGGCTATGACATCAGTTACGTTGGCTGGTGAAGATTAGTTACAGTGATAATCCTGTGTTTGGTTTAGGTGTTATTCATAGACCGATGAACAGCAACATTTTGAGAAAAAACACTTTTTCAGTATCAAGGACCCACAAAATACAGCTTCTGATTTGCACCAGAATCCATTTCACCATTCCAGAAAGTAAGTAATTTACTACAATGAGAGACAAAAAATCCACTTTTGCGATATCAGGGTCCCACAAAAAATGTTTCTCATTTGAAAAGTCAGGACTTTTCCTTGAAGTTATACATAACTTTCTCTTTTAACAAGACATAAGAAGAAAAAGAAAAAAAGCGAGACTCAAACTGTAAGTAAACTGTACAGACCAAGGTTGATAAACCACAAGAAGCCTTCATTGCATAATTTATACATTTGTAGTCTCCACAAAAACCGGACATTTTTACTTTTTTAACTTAATTATTTCCATATAATAATATTAATTATTATTTATATTTTATATATAATATTAATTATTATTAATATATTAATAATATTAACTTAATTATTTCCATATTAAGAAAATATTAAATAAAAGCAGAGCTTGGGTACATGTCACATTTGGCAGCTCTCCAACGCCACCAGGAAAAAGACAAAATTAACTAACTTTCTTAATAAATAAATTTTGTATCAAAATTTTACGCCGAAACATTTGCAATTAAAAAAACAAAAAAAACAAAAACAGTCTTTTCTAGACCTACCCTCAAGATTCCCGCATATATTAATAATTTCTGTAGTTTTAATTATTGACCAAAATTTCACAATTACAAAACCCAAATTATACAATTAATCTCAAAAACGTCCCTGATTTTCAAAGACTATTCTACAAATTCCTTGATTTCCCGGATCAATGAAGATCCCTGAACTTTCCCAGACAATGAATGCTGCTTTCATCTCAAATCTGGTAAAGCAGATAGAGATGAGAACACTAAAAATGAACATTCTCTGAATTCAAACAAAATGCTTGGTCATGAAGCACAGCCAAAACGCCACAGAATTCACATACTGGGACTTTTGCGGGGTGATTGTCGAAGTTCACAGTGGCAAGGCACCTCAGAAGCCTCCAGCTGTTAGGGTCCCTGTCAAAGGTCGAGTGCAACTGGAAGTTAAAAGGGATTCTGATGTAAACCACAGTAGAACGGATAGTTCTCAAAAAAGATGCAGTCATTGTCCCCAAGACAAAAATCGTTGCTCAGGAAATGAAATTTTCTCAAAAGGGTTAAAATTGTACTAATAGGTGTGAATTTTTAATGTACTGATAAAAAACCATCTTTCAGAAAAGCAAATATGACTGCTTTCATATTTTTACTTTTATTAAATCAATTTTGTAAACACTTACTCTATAAATTACAACGGTTTTACACTAGAAAGCCAGGACTTTCCTAGCATCCACCAAAAACGGCATATTTATTTATTATTTATTTACTGTTTTAACTGTCAGAGATAATCCGAGACAGTCAGTTCTTAATTGTAGTTCATTTTGGGTTGTACAAAAATCACAATAGTACAATGAATATAAATAAATGCATTATGAAATAAGTGTAAGTACATATGATACTGAATAAAAAATAATATAGTATAGATTATTGCTGAAGAAAGATCCTTCAAGTTTCTAAATATATTAAGAAGTTATTACATGTTTTGAATTTTATAAATTAAATTAAATTTAAAAAAATAAAAATAAAAAACAGGAAAGATACAGAAACATAAATGTCCTACTACAATACAGGTTTAACTCCCTGAAATGATTTTGTACAAGATTTTGAATAATAATGAAGAATTAAAAGAAGTTTAGATCATATTGTGTTAACACTTTAGCAGAAATACCTTTTGTTTTTCACTTACATCTGTATCAACTGTTCTTTTAGTACTTCCTTTCTTCCCTCTTGAATACAAATTGTATGCAAAATGAATATATTCTTTTGCTCATGAATATATTCTTTTGACACATAGTAAGAATCATGTTACTATATACAAGTGCAGACTGTACGAAATTTCTTAGACATTAATTAGCTCTTTTAGTACTATTCTCACATTTACATTTCAATAGAATCAGCTACGCAAGTGCAGATAGTATCTGCATGAGCAAATGGAATCATGGCTCACCCACTCTGCCCATGCTTTTTTGTGTACTGGAAGAAGCATGTTTTGTTTTCTTTCTCACATGGAACAGTATCCATTTCACATTGGATTTTCATTTCTTTCTTTAAAATTCTTCTTGTGTATGAACAACCCCATTATATTAACACAATAATTTCAGAAGATAAGGAGATGAAGAGAAAGGGGGAAAGGCTAAATTACACCTGAGAAAAAACTGCTTGAATCTTTCAGTGAAAGTCCTATCAAAAGTAGTTTCCCTGGACCTGAGATTAGCCCAGACAAGAGGGAAAACAAAAAATTGTAAACACAATTGTATAGGTTTTTATATTGTAGAAATAATGATATATGAAGTTAAAAAAGTGTTTAGAAATCGTAGAGAAGCACTTAAATTTTAAGAATAGAGATGCAATGTAATTTTGTTATATGTAAATTAGAAAAATTATATAGTACAGTTAATAATAAATATGGAGGGATTTGTAAAAGTTCTCGGTCTGATAGGTGGTGTCTAAATAAATGTGTCAGAAGATAGATTAGTTACTATAACATTGGTTATGCACGATCCTTGATAAAATGAGCTGTAAAATTTTTAACATGTAGCATCAATTGATTCTGTTGTGGTCCTGTAAACTCGGAGGCATGTGAAGTTTCTGCAAAACTGATAAACCTGAATTACAAGCGATGATAAAAGAAACTTGGTTTCAAAAGTTTTACTCCAACAAACTTTTAACCGTTAAAGAGTTACTACTAATATGTTCCCCTTCAATTTCAATGACGAAAAAGTGAATAGCAGAATTCAAGCATGCCTATTCTTAAATTCAAGTTGATGAATGCTCAGGGCACCCAAAAACCTGAGCGCCAAAATAATAACAAAAATCCAAAATATTTTATGATCGACGTTGTTAGAACGTTGAGCTGACATTGCAAAGATCGCAACAGACTATGTAGCAAACATTTTACACAAAGTTTTGGGAATGTCAAAGCTTCCAACCTGATAGGTGCCATGGTTGTTGACAATGGACAAAAAAACTAACTCAAATGAACATTGCGCAAGTGTTTACACTTGTTCAGATGCAATCTTATTTTCTCTGTTTCATTAACAGTAGATGATACGTGGATACATCACACACCAGAGAGATAAGAACAGTCAAAACAGTGGGTGGGTCCATGAGAAAGAGCACAAAAGAACAAGAATTGTTGGGTCACCTGCCTCAGCCACTATTTGGCACCCAATGATATCTTTTTCTTCCCATCCAAGAAGAAACTATGTGGTTAATAATTTTCGACACCTCAAGAACTGGTTGAAGCATTCAAAAAGCTTGTCTATGAGACAACTCAATTGGAATGGAAAAAGTACCAAGAAAATTTATTCAAATGTATGCAAAAGTGAATTGATCACCGCAAAGAATACTTTGAAATACAAAACAATCATTTTTAATGATAAATATTTGTATTTATTTCTTATTCCAGATACATAAATAGTAATCCTTGAGTGGGCATTAACACACAAGTCAACACAGCAGATCCCTGCACATCATGATCACTTTTAACAAGTTTTTATTTTACTATGATTATTAATTATAATAAAAAAATTAAAAACTGTGCATTTTAATAAATTTATAAAATGCAATTCTTTTATGACTCTAGTTGACAAATTATTAAAGTTACCTATTCACACTAATGAACACATTACAAATAGAAAATCCTTTCTCAAGAAAAAATTGTTATATAAAGCTCTCGTTTATCTATTAATGAAATATTGATATAAAGAATTTCAACTACATATCTTGCAATGCATACAAGTGTTCATCATCATTATCATTCATTGTTACAGAAATTCATGTGTGCTTATACCATCTTTAGAAGTTATGAAAATATTTCAATTACATTGATATCTTGATGCTCTAGCTCTAATAATTTGATCACTCAAAGTCCTAAAAGCTCACAAATATAGCACATACCTGTTATTCCAAATTCCTTTAAACAGATCAAGTGATTCGCGCAACCTATTTTGAGTGGGATCTTCTCTTAAAACCATATTGTAGCTGCTACATGCCGTCACAAATATGATTGCTGTTACATCATTGAAACATTGTATCCACTTCCGCCTCTCATCACGCTGACCACCAACATCAAACATGCTAAAAGCAAAAAGCAAATAATTAGAACTCGAACCTTTACAATTTTGGAAATTAAAAACAAACAAAAAACAAATACAAACAACCTCCTGTAAAGTATTTAAGATAAAGTTTTTTCTGAACTAATAGTTCAAATTTTCTTATTTGAATTATTAAAACAAAGGCTAAAGGTTATGCAAAAGTAATGTTGCGATGATTACTTATGCCAGCACCATGTAAAATGAAAGCATAATGAATTCACTAGAGTTTTGCACTATTCTCAAAAGAAATTATCTTAGATCAGTGTTTCTTTAAGTGCGTTCTGCAGTACCCTGGAGCACCACAAAGAGTTCATAGGTAGTTCCAAGAAAATTTCAATAAGTCCATGTACTAAACTAGCATTTAAAAAAAATTCTAAACATATTAAATGCAGTGTTATACAGACAAGAGATAAATATGCAAACACTAGTATCTGTTTAAAACTTCTCTATTTTATAATGACGATTTGCTTACAACTCCAAAGAGCAACGAGATAGTTCAATTTGCAGATGCCACATAAATCTTTATGAAAACAAACAGTACAATAATCTTTACAAAAAACACACATATGGTGCATGAAGCTCTAGTAAAATGATAACAAGAAAGAAATATATCATAAACATCAGTAAAACTGTCTCCCTGAACCCATTCTCAACAGAAAAGTCACCATCATAATTGGACATAAAAAATATTCCTGTAAAAATTACTACTGTATGCAAAAACCTTTCCTTGAACTGACAATTCAATATGATCACAAATTAAACTCTCATATTACAGACTTTATAAACAAAAAAACGTTAAGTCTTAAGTCAAACCCTTGAAAAATTAACTCACACAAATTACGAACAGTATATTACTGCAAATGTCCATTTACATCTAAAATACAGAATCTGGAGAATTACACATCTAAAATATGAACTCTTTCAGTGGATATTTCCACATTTTCATATTCCAAGTTTCCACACTTTCAGGTTTTTAAAATGAATATTTGATTATTGAGAACAATGACACTCACAAGGCATTAAACCAAAACATTAAAACCCTACCTCATTCATAGAGTACATATTTGAAATGGTACTTTCATGCAGCAGATTCTCAAATGAATACAGGGGCTGCCTTAGATATAGAAATTAATAACAATTGACACTAGATGAACTAGTGATGCTGCAACAGCACAAAATGTCTTGCATTATTTGTAATTGCTCACATTATTTCCATCACATCATACAGGCAAGCAAGGATAATTTCACACATAAATTGTACATCCAGAACCAAAGGCCAAACAATATATTGCATTATGAATGCATTCGAAATACCCAATATCATTACTTAGTGTATATCTATATAAACATTCTTCCCAGCTTTTTTAAATAAACCCTTTCATTGAAAGTAGAGAACATTGCAACACAAATATTAGGTAAATAAAACAGCCTTATCTTATCTTTCCCATCATGCCGCTGTTAAACAATGAACTTCTGAACAATATCCATTGCTGCATTATTGCGCAATGCATTGTACAGTGATATTTTCATAAAATTAAAGTAATAAAACTTTGTACAAATTATGCTACTCAAGTTTTTCAATTTTTAATTCACAATACATTTAAAATCATATTTTTAAGAGAGAGACCTTAATTGAGTAAATTTCCATCAGGGTTTGTGGATCCCTTGAATGAAAATGCATGAATACACTGAGAATACAAATTGTAAAACTTGAGTAAAAATTGAATTAATTTTAATATTTTCAATAGTAAATTATAATTAAAATTAAATTATTATTTTAATATCCTTTTGATCCAGTCCTTTTCTCAAAGGAACATAAAGAAAAAATTTGGAACAATTTTTGATAAATTTTTTAAACAATTTTAAATTGCCTAAATATCAAGCACAAATTACGTGAAAACTACTTGTTTTTCAAACAATTTTACAAGACTTTTTCTAAAAGCTTTTCTAATTATTATCAAAAGGAGAACTTCTTGCCCCCACCCCCACCCTCCCCGCATAACATTCGCTCTCTATCATCTGTAACTAGGGTCTTGGAAGAGGGCATCCCGAAATCCCTACCCATTTCCCCGCTCACCAACTCCCTCCATCCTGCCCTTACCATCGACAACACTGGCGGATCCAGGAGGAGCCCATGAAAGGCCGTGGCCTACTCGAAAAATTCATGAGTTTTAATTTTCCTTCCTTTATTTGGCAAAATTTACTTAAATATTTATGTTTGAAATATGTAATTATTTCAACAATAATATTATATTGTATCATATCTACAGTACATAAATAAATACAATATAGTAACACATATGTTTATTATTTCATAAAAGTCTATGATGGCACCCTCCAAAATGATTGGCTTGATCCGCCCCTTCATGGCAATGGCCTTTCACGGCTAGTTCTTTGGGTATCATCTACTAATAGTTCACGCTGCAATACGGAAACCTTACTGGAATGATGTGTTGAGTTTTATGCTGAACGTGTTTAACTGCTATATCTTTTACTGAAAGTTTAGGGATCAATATTGCAATCTGAGTCTTTCCAGTAAGTTAAATGTAAGCACAATAAAACAAGCTTTACAGTATTTTAGCAGCATTAAAAACTCATCACCAAGAAGCTTCCTAGAGCAATGCTAACAGAGTTAATATTTTATGCTAAATGACAATTTCATTTACTGAAAACACAGGATTCAATGTTGCAAGAGTGACTCATGCCAAGATCATGTGAAAAAGTAATCACAATAACACATTTTACTTTTGATCTATTCAAAATTCCTTAAAGAAAGAATCTAGGAGAAAAGCCAATAGTGCTATGTTTTAAGCCAACCATTTTAATTTTACTGATAAGATAATGAACAATATCACAAAGGTGACTTGTACCAACATTGCGACAAATGTAAGCACAATAAAAATTGCTTAAGTTTTACACTATTCAAAATCCCTAAAAAAAATTCTGATAGTTTAACATCGAATGTTGCAAGAGTCATTAATGCCAACATTACATCAAATGTAAGCACAATAAAATTTGCTTTTTTTTTTACACTATTCAAAATTTCTTAAAGAAAGTATTTGGACTAATGCTAAAACTGCTAATGTTTTATGCTGATGATATTTAATGGCTGTAGCATACCCTAATAGAACAACAACATTCATTGCAAGAATGCCTGATAACATCATCATTAAAAAGAAAGCACAATAAAACTTGCTTTAGTTTTGCACCACGCAAATTTTCTTGAACAAAGAACTATTGAGTAGTCCTCACAGTGCAAATGTTTTATGCATATTTAATGGCTGTATTATTTCCTAATAGCAAAGCCACCAATGTTGCAAGGGTGACTCATGCCAACATCAAGTCAAATGCAAGCACAATAAAACTTGCTTTGGTTTTGCACTATTCAAAATTCCTCACAGAAAATATCTGGGAGCAATGCTAGTAGTGCTGATTTTTGATGAACTAATGTAATGGGTGTATTGTACACTGATTGCACAATTCTTCAAGACTGAGTCATGCCTACATCATACCAAATTAAAAGAATAATAACATTTAGGTTAGTCTTTCAAAATTCAAAATTATTCAAAGAAAGTATCTTGGAGTAATCATAAGTGCTAATATTTTACGCTGCTCATATTTAATGATTTATCAAACCCTGCCAGCAAAACAACCAATGTTGCAAGGGTGACTCATGCCAACATCAAGTCAAATGCAAGCACAATAAAACTTGCTTTAGTTTTGCACTATTCAAACTTCCTCACAGAAAATATCTTAGAGCAAATGCTAATAGTGCCGATATGTTGAGTTAATGTAATGGGTGTACTGTTCTCTAATAGCACAAGTTTTCAAGGCTGACTTATGACTACACCATATCAACTAATGAATAACATTTTAAATTTTTGTAATATTCAAAATTTCTCAAATAAATACTCTTAGGGAAATGCTAATTCAATTTATGTTTTATAATGTCCTAATTTAACGACTGTTTCATTTAAAGCAAAAACGGGGAAATGATGATGTACAGGTGACTTTCAACTTTTGATCATTTACTGTATGCAAATGTATTAATGTTAACAGGGTGAATGTCAAATGGGGAATCATGATAAATTTGAGTTTGGTTTTGCACTATTCAAAATTCCTCACAAAAAGAGTCTTAGAGCAATGCTTACAATGATGTTTTACTGTATTAATGAAATGAGTGTATTGTTTATTGAAGAACAAGCTCCACGAGTAACTCACGCCAACATAATAATTGTAAGTACAGTAGAAACGGTTTTAGTTTTGTCATATTCAAAGTTCTTCACACAAAGTATCTTCGGGTAATGCTAATAGTGTTGTTTTATTCTGAATTAAATTCATGGCTGTATCATTTACTAAAAGCACAGGGTCACATGAACAATGTTGCAAGGATAACTGATGCCAACCTTATAAATGTAATTGACAAAGAACTGGCTTTTGCACTATCCAAAATCCCTTCAGAAAGTATTTGATAACAATGGTAGTGATTTATATTGATCTAACTGAACAGTCATATCTCTTATTGAAAGTACTGAAATCGATGTTGCCAGTGTTACTTATGTCAAATGTAAGCACAATTGAAGCGGTTTTAATTTTGCTTTATTTAATATTTTTACTCAAATGCGTCCTTGTGCACTGCTTATAGAGTTAATGTTTTCAGCTGAACTACTTTAATCCTTATATCATTTAATGAAAGCACAGGATCACAGTGTTATAAGTGTCTCTCATGCCAATACAATGACAAATTCAGGTGCAATATATTATGTTTTTATGTTTGTGATTAACATTTTTTCCTGAAAAATGAACCTAATAATACTATTGTTCTTCATTCTCTGCTGGGAGAGAGGGATACACAGCATATGTCACAGCTAATGAAAGTCAACTGATGAGCACTACGTAAATATAATTAACTACCCATATTATAACTAAACCTTCAATTATATTTGAATTTTTTAATTAGGGCACTGGTGTATTATACATCTAACAGTAGTTGCCTCAGATATCCCAAGACATATTAAAAATAAAATCACACGTTTGTAAGGGAGTCAATAAAATTATAGGAAAACCTGCAGTGTCATATGAAACTGATGTTTCTGTATGGGCCATGCTGAATTGTAATATACATGTTAGTATTAAAAACAAGAGACAAATATAAGTATATAATGCATACATTTACATCCACTAGATTTCATTACAGTTTACATTGCATCATATATATATTTGTGGACCTATCAATAAATAATAAGCAAATGTTATGCCCAACCTTAACATAAATAAATAAAAGAGAAGAATAAAGATAAAAGAGAACGAAGCTTACTGGAAATTCACTTTATCTACTTGAAACCTTGTTTCAAAAATTCCAGATGTAAGAACTCGACACCGGAGTATGTCCTGTAACAAAACATAATTCTATAACAAACAAAGTAAAAAACAACAGACTGTACTTCACAAGGGTAATTGCAAAATAACCAATGCACATTTCAATTGGAAACAAAAGGCATGCAATAATAGTACAGAAAAACTTGCTCAGTGCGGAATATGCATAATGCACAAAATGTCTAATGTGACAATAATTCGCAGTCCGGCCAAACATATATTCTATTGCATAATGTGGAATCTTATCTAATATGAATAAAAATACTTGTCCCCTGAGATTCTGCTTGGGCAAGTTTTACTGTATTAATAATACATTTTGTTATTAACCAAATAACTACTGTATTATATTTCGCATATAGAAATAATGTGGATTATTATCTTTATACAGTTAAGGTGGGCACAGTTTCATCATAATTATTGCTTGAACAGGTGTACAAGGCCCGTTCTGTGCTCTCAAGTATGAACATGGCTGCTCATTAGCAGAAAAATGTTTACAATGAATATTTTTTTATCTAGGTTTGTTTCACTGAATTAATAATACAAATTAACATCTAAAAAGTAGTAAAGAATGTGTACCTGTTCTGTTGGTGTATAATTTGGCTGTTTGATAACACTCACTTTATCTAGGAAGCTAGAACAGAAAAGGAGAACCCAATTAATGATAATGAAGTGAAACATCATCTTTAGAATTTTGCCTGAAATTAAGGTGATTTTTTAGTGCAAAAATTAATCATAATTGTTCATAATTTATTCCATTTTATTTATTGAGAAATCAAATACATCTACATAAATCTTTCTGACATACATACAATGAGTAATGAAAAAGAAAACAAAGGAAAGAAAAACCCGAGAAGAGAGGACAGAGAAAGGAAAAAAAGTAAAAATGAAAAGACAAAGAAAAACTCCAGAATTCAAATTTGTTATTTCTTGAGGGAGGTTAAATTCAGATGTGTCCACCTTTCCCAAGAATGTATTAACAATCGGAGAAACTGGTCAACTTAAATATACGGCGGGTACGGGACAAATGTTGGCTAATCTTTGCTTTTATCCGCATTCTGAGTCACAGCCGAAAGCGATCGATCGAACAAGCCATGCAAGCAAGCCCTGCAGGACCGAGGGAGCTGTCGGGCGCTGCGCCGAGCGAACCCAAGACCAACGCGCCTATTCGCGTGGCGCGCGCCTCTAAAAATGGCCGCCGAGTGAAAAATAAACAGGGGCTTGGGTGTGAGGGGAGGGAGAAGGGGGGGGAGTGATGGCAGTGATGCGGCGCGTGCCCGAGGTCCGGGAGGAAAGAAAGCTCACCGCTCTCCCACCGCCTTCCCTGGCAGCCACATCTCTAAAGCCGTCACAGGCGGCGGAAACCTGCCTTTTTCCGGAAGGGGGTTCACGTTCATAAGAAAACTAGTTCACACGACTAATAAATATAATTCCACAAATGTAGATATCCCTCTTAACAGACCATCCCTTTTCCCGACGAGCGACCATCACTTGTATAGGAACTTTCTTTTTATAATTTATTCCTTTTAAGAGATCAGGGAAATTGTAAGAACACAGTGAATCGAATTTTCAGAATTTAAACTGAAAATTGGCGACGTTCTGAAAAGGTATTCGCGCGGCATGTCCAGAGCGTCAATCCTCGAGGTCACTGGGAGCGCGGAGGAGAGATTCGAGGAACCATTGAACCATAGCCGCCTCCTGCAGCCTCAAAATGCTGATCAAAACCACATAAAATGGTCTTCCAAAAAGTAGCACGCACACTGCTTAAAAATAACACCGCAAGAAATCGAATATTTTACCAAAAACACTCTTCGCGAATATTGCAGTGATGTAGAATAGTCTTATAGAACAATAGCTTTTTACATACCAAGAATATAAAAAATTGCTGTTCCCTAACACAACACGTTTATAACAAAAATATTCAATGGTGGCGGGCAACTTTTTACGGGGCATGACGCCAGTTGTGTCGTAAGTAGGGACGCAATACGAAAATGTATTTAATAAGCAGAGTTTGCGAATAGGCGGAATAAAAACAACCGTATATTTGTTTTTTTCAGACAAAGTAGAACGTTTCATTTCCTTTGGATTTTCCTTAGTTCCTGGGCATGTCAGGAAAACCGCAGAACCCCCTCCCCCAACACACACACACACACACACACACACTTGGCCAGAGGCTGGTTAGTTTTCTTTCCGTTTCTGTGCGGACTGATTGATTAGTGATCCCGGTCGCGTCAACTGCTAAGGGCATAAGTTCCGTAAATGAAGTGCATGTTTTATCGCGGGAGGTGGCGGAGATCTTCCCCTGCTGGATGGCTGGACCTACGTCGGCTTGCAGGGACTTTCCCCAACCACGAATCTCCCACCAGCGTAGCAGCCCTGCAGACGGGACAAGCTGTAAGCTCACGACTGGTCTCACTACATATGTAGTAGTGGTGTAGAGCATGTAAGATGTGTAAGGGGCTGACGAAAGGACTAGGAAGAGGAAGGAAAAATCGAACGCAGTCCGTAGCCCGGTTTTTAGAGTACTGGCCCGGCATTCGCCTGGTGTTGATAGGAGAAACCATGGAAACTACGATCAGAGCAGCAGGCTTCTAAATTTCTTCCCTAGACTGCGGCTGAATTCGACCAGCTGACAAGCTAGTGTCGATAATCCTGCCATCGTCGGGACTAGAATCCCCAGGACCCCTGTCGGAGGCACTGCAGTGACATCAGTTGATGCCTTGAGCTACTTTAGCCAGTTGCGTAGATTGAAAATTAGTAATATCGATATAACCGTCGCCATTTATATGATACCACAGCTGCTTGTTCCATTTCAGTTTCATATTTTCTAATATGACGGCGAATATGAAAAGTGGCCTAATGTTTAATTCTTTAAATTAACACCCTTCGCTTACCCGAGACCCAGTTGTTTTCTTTTCTTATTGTGGGAAGAAGTGGGAGGAAAGATAATACTAAGATAATACTACGGAGGTCGGCCAGAAATTAATGCTCCACATCTTTTTTCTCTCCGGAAATATTCATACGAATATCATGAAATGTACACACCATAGTACATAAGCACACAATTAAATAGAGCATGGTTCTTCTGCTTTAATAATTTAAGTTTTGCAACATAATGTCATTGAAATTCTACAGCCTTGCGGTAACGTGAAATAAGGGCGAGCACGCCTCGCCGGTAGCAGCTTTTATCATGACGATGTAACCATCACTTCATGCTTCGGATGGGCGTCGTCCAATTTTCTTCCAAGAACAGCATATTCAAATGGCCCGACAAGATGAAAATTCATACTTTAGGAAGGATGGCGAAGCAGTGTCTAACCCTTCGTTGCGACGCTTCTCGTGTTGAAACACGTGCGTGGGAGAACGTTACCGTGCAGAAGCAATCTTTGTGCTCAATTCTTCTTGGGAAGGAACTCGCTGTTAACTCCTCCTTAGGGTTTGCAGACTACTTATAGCAGTACCATAACATAGCACTGCAGTAAGTACTCCGAATGACACCACCAACGGCCCGTAGGACAGATCATACGTTTTCGAGCTGAGGAAACTGTCTTGAACTTTTTCTGATGTGCTAAGTGCGAGTGACGCCAGTCTAAAGGATCGTTTCGTCGTAGGTTCAAAATGAACCCACCTTTCACCTCATATGATTATCCTAAATATCCTTCAGAGATTGTTTTCCTTTTGAAATTATGATCTGTTGACAGATACCTTGGGACTCAACAGGCGCACACTTTAGGATATTTAAGTTCCATGATAGGTGCAAACAGCACTTCCCTTCTCACTGGGCGATGTAGGGCCAGAGTCTCTGTTGTGATCCGCCTATCCTCTCACCGGCGCGGGTCAGCATGTTAGTACTCGTCGCAGTGGTGGGATGCCCGGAGTGCGACAGATTGCGTAAGTCGCCTTCTTCACTTACCGAAGCCCTTACTCTTTTAGACCAGTACTCCTGTCGACAGCAGAGGTGACAACTACTGAGAACACTAAAACTAGACATGATTTACGTTTATTTTTAACAAAGAAAAAGCAAAAATCGGAGAAAAAATGTCATCAAATGATTTCATTTTCTCATACTTCGCGCACCTAGTTAAAAGTCTTTAAATATGTTCATTAGAATAGAATAGACACTTTCCCAAACATCCAATATCTAGTAAAAGTGGACCGTTTTTTGTTTAAATAAAGTCCCAATAAGCAACCTCACACGAAGGCAAGAAACCAACAGAAGTAGCTTAATAGATTTTACTGTATTTTTGGAAATACATTTTAAGTGACATTTTCTTCGATGAAATTTTGATTATAATTCGAAAAAAGGCCAGCAAGCTATAAACATACAACTATGTTCACGGCTTGAGATTATTTTATAAATGAGCGAATCTGGGATACATGATTACGTGTGTATGTAAACAAATCACGCGACTGTTCAATTAAGACTGTTTAAAAAGACACTTTCTTCGGTTTTGGTTGAAATATCCGAGTAGTCATTTCACAGGCTGTCTGTGAACGCGCTGCTTCGGAATCCATTACAAGTTGCACAAAACACCAGGATCTGCAACCCGTGATACGCCAATGCAATGCACGGCAGGCGAAGCTGTTCTGATCACCGCGCACAAGGAGATCGAAATAGGTAAGCGCCAAATGCTTCGGATAGACATAGGGAAATGCCCAGGAAGAAAAACTCGTGTTATTCTTTGTAACAGAATTTCTCGTCATTGACATCCGAGAAAAATAAACAAGCGGGGACTATTGAGCCACAATAAGTCGAAAACTAGTGGTGCAACAGAATGGCACAGACTTTCCCGTATTAGTTTTCTATTTCCATTGGTCTTAGCTAGCTATTCGGACTTGCCACATACTCTTGCCAGTTGCTATCTATCGCCGCCCAAAAAACATATTTTTGAAATTTTCTTAATGTTTCTGTTTTATAATAGAACGGAAATATGATTTGAAGAATATATATATATATATATATATATATATATATATATATATATATATATATATATATATATATATATATATAAAGTAAAATGTCATCCTAAATTGACATTTTCTTCGAAAAAATTAGTAAAATTAGTAGCTATAGTAAATTCGAAATACTTCATTTAAAATTATTTGAAGCACTTTATCTCACAAATACAATAGTATTTACAAATTGCTGGAAATGTGCAGATTACCGGCGTGAAAAATCTTTCGAAAAAATCACGTTTGTGTAATTTTTGAAGAAAAAAAAATACCGACATAAACTTAACCTCATATTAAAGAGTCACTTAGCACTAATCTTGCGAAAAGTTTGAAGAAAAAAATTAGAGTCGTTTTTGAAAAAATGGTGTTCGAGCGTTTCTGAAATTGCGAAGTTTTGAGCTAGTTTTGACAGAAAACGGTAGAGTTTTCGAGAACCCTTACAAGACAATATTTAAAGCACAGTACTCAAATATAATAATGTGAACAAATTGTCACTAATGTAAAGATTAACAATGTGACAGAAGTCAAAAATTTAATATTTGTAATTTTTGAAAAAACTAAAGAATAGCCTAATTTTGCGTTTATGTCGTCTTATAGAGTGCATTTAGCACAATCCCTACGAAAAGTTCAAAGAAAACATTTGGAGACTTTTTGAGAAAAATCTTGTTTTTGTAATTT